TATTTGGGAACTGCTAATTAGTCTGAGACTTAAATGACTAAAAGTTTTCTACTCTACTCAAAGATGTGGTGGAAACTTTTCCATATATTAAGGATGTCAAGACAACCACTTGCAAATGTGCAAATACACCATTCCATGCCATCCATGAGAAATATACAAAAACATAGTAAATGGTTCTCAAGCAGCCTAAATGTGATGAAAATTTAGAATTTGATAACCTCACTATTAAAACAAGGGCAAGAATGGTGAGATTACCAATTTGCAGTTTGTGTGCTGATACAATGTAACTGCTTCTTGCTTTCTAGCTATATTCCAGACAACTGAAGTATAACCTGATGTTGTGCCGTTTATTTCAGAGGTGAGTCCACCTTTTACTGCATGTGCTAAGGCATGGGTTTTTTAAAACACATTCTGTTGAAAAAAACTATGTTTGGCTGGGTTTACCCAACACACTAGGCTAAAACATGACTGCTTAGTTTGTGGATCAGTGTGGCTAGTAATGAGTCACTGTCTTCTGCAGTTAATTTGTCAATCATGGTCATTTAACTGTGAGCTAGCATGTTGTGCAAACACAACCTATACTAGAACCCACACTTTATAGCATGTGGTAGCTAGGTTTGTAAAATATACAAAGTCCAAACTGAGAAAAATCCACCATGGCATAGCACAGTATGCAAATCTAGGCAGGAAATGTGATGGTATGTATCTGGTGCTAAGTGTGCCAACGATTGCAGCCTTATAATATTCTTCACAACTTCCAGCAAGCCTGGATGCCTATATTTCTGTTTAACAAGACATAGGAGAAGAAACTGAGCAACAACATGAAACCATATTTTCACATCATTGACCTGTCTTTAAAAGAGAGGGAGGGAAAAAATGCCCTTAAGCTAGTCCAGTTCTTTGTCAAGCTGTAATCTAGGGTTCCAGATGGTAAATGTTCAAAGGAATATTTATGGCTACTGCTGCATACCTCTGGTTGACATTTGGTTCCTTCCTGACAGCACTTATGCTGGGCACAAACACATGAAGTTCCCATTAGTAACTTAACAGCTGTAAAACTATTCAGAGAGCTTAAAGGATGCTGCAATATTAGATTATTTGAAGAATAAGGAAAATATTCTCAAGTGCTAGGGAGAACCAGTTGCGGTTGGCAGAGCTGCCAGTATGCAAAAAGAGCTTCCAATTTCAATTTCTCTTTCTTAGTTTTGAAGTATGATCCTTTTTTTTTTTTTTTTTATGAAAAGTTGGATATAACCAGACAAGTCAAAAGCTTTTATGCTGAATGGCTAAAGAGCCAAATTTGGACCAGAAAAGTGTCAAAACACTGCTAAGCTTATTAAATGGTTTTAGATGAGTTAAGAACATAGGAAATTGCCTTATACTGGCTGGATTCACATAACCTGCTCAGACAAAATGTAGTTTTTTTGTAGCCAAGCATGTTGCATGAACTGTGGTGTGAACCTAACCAATAGTGGTTACTTAGTAAACCATGGCATAGCATATTGGAGGGTAGCACAGACTCAGTATTGGCATGTTTTAGAGGGAATCTTTAACTACTCCTATCTGGAAATGCCAAAAATTGAGCTTTTGTGAGCAGAGTGAGTACTCGCCTACTGAGCTGTAGCACCCTGGTTTTTCTAGGTTACCAGGAAGCTTTATACATAGTCAGATCATAGCCCATCTAGCACAGCACTGAGAAGTAGAAGTTTTCCAGACTTTATGAGGTTTACTTTCCTCCTCAACACTAAATAGAAATAGCTGACGCTGATGCTGTGAAAACAAATTTCTTGGACTGAGGAATGATGGGCTATGAATAATGGAGTGATCACAGGCATGTTTGGGAAGAGTTGAATTGAACAAATACAAGCCTTTATTTGCTTGCTTAGGATTTACATTCTGACAATCCCCACTTTTGCTCAGATGCAGAAATGTAATTTCATTGAACCAAATAGTAGTATTTGCTTTAACCCAGCTCATTTCTCCCCCACCCCACACCTTAATGTCAGGCAAATGGCAAAGAATGCAATAACTTGTTTGAGGCAGAAGGTACTTTGATGTAGATTCACTTAATTGTGTGTTAGTTTATTACTTGGCAGAGCATTTCTCCTTTTGGCACTTCATAGTCAAGGTAGGTGAGCCTGTTCTACTTATCATAATTTTAGCTTTTTATTAGTATGTGTAATTCTTGCTGAATAATTTAAAAAAGTATATGTACTTTTTAAAACATACTTTTAAAATGTGCTAAACCAGTGATCCAGACACATCATCTCATCTTGCCAAGTGTCTGAGTTGCCCCAGAGAACTTGAGAAGAAATTACTGGCTCCTTTGAAATAGTAGCAAATATTGGGAGAATAATTATATCAAATTATGGTTTTCACTCTGAGCAAGGATCAATGAAAACAGATTGTGAAACACACTGAAATGTAGTAGCACAATATTTTCAAATATGGAAGGTATTATAAACCAAAGCTCTTAAAGGAAGTTAGACAACCATGGAAAGAATGATTTTTGAATCATTTTCAAATACTGTTCTTACTAAGTCGTCTTTTACAAAGGATTTTAGAGGCTTTATTATCAACGTTTTGAGACTTGCATAGTCAGAATCAAATAGTTGTCTAAGCAGATCAAACTTTGCTTGTTTATATTATTACTGGGTGGCAATTGGATATATTGGTTGTTGTCCAGTTACATGCTTTTCCTAGTGAAGCTAGGCAAATTGATTTCGGCTCCCGTGCCCTCTGAGTCTGCAGATGATCTTTCATCCTTCTAGAATAGATTTTGACAATGTGCAGCATTAGGTAGATTAAAAACGCCTCATGCTCGTGCAAGTCTGCTTGTGTGATACTGGATCCTGTTATATTATTACCATATTAAACTGGATTATTTGTTCTGATTTCTCATGGTTCTGAAAATAAAAGAATGACTTCTTGATACCCAGGGATTTATCCTTGGATTTACTGCATACTATGCTGTAAGAGCTAGGTTTGTGATCTGACTATAGCAGAAGCAATATCATCATCCCTGATGCTTAGTCAACATGTTACAAATATGTCAAAGGAATCCAAGAAGATAGGATGGTGTTAGTATTCAGGGTAGGTCAAAATACCTTTGTTCTCAATATGCTGCTTACCCCTCTTGTTGCAGTGGAGGGAAATACAACAGTAATAAACTACAGAGTAGCTTTTCCCAGCCTATAGATAGGTTAGAACAACAACACTTAGAATTTTCAGGCATTTATGCTGTCCCATCCCCCTAGGTTACTAGATTGGGGGTGGATCCTGAAAAAGGTTTCATAGTAGGGGTAAGAACATTTCACTAATGATATGGCTTTAACAGGTGAAATTCATTTAAGCTTAAAACAGCATGAATGAGATGTTTTGAGATTTGGACCCAATATTTGGCCTACTCCTTAGCATAGGTGAGCATGACTTTTAATAAGCTTACTGATGTTAAGCAATCACCTGCATCTTACCCTCCTCCCCTTTACTTACACTTTCATTGTTTATTTCACAATCAATTCAAAGCCTTCACAACCCAGTATTATGCACTGATTGTGTTAAGAAACTATTTTTGATTGATAAATCACTAATTTTTCATGCCTCATCAGTAACTTCCTTTACAATACTCTGCCTACTAACAAGAAATCACTGTGCTTTATACTGTAAATGCTTCCTAACAGTAAAAGTAGTTCAACAGCAGAACCCTTTACCAAGGGAGATGGTTGAGTTGATGAGCTCCCATGTTCAAGCAAACACTGACAACCATCAAGGATCTTTAATCTGGATATTTGACTATAGCAAGGAAGTTGGACTTGAAATGGTCCTTTCCTGTTCTATGCAAGGAAACACAGAATCCTTTTCCTTTTCTTTAGTATGTTTCTATGAGATCAAAATTCATTAAAATTGTAAAGCTATAAATAGGCAGTAAGTATGGTTTACAATTCTTAATTAGTAAACCATACTTACTGCCTATTTATTGTAGCTTGGTTTATAATGTTGGGCCATGGGAGGGTCACAGTTAAGCATACAGGGAGTTGCATATTGCCTGCCTTATCATTGTGCATGTTTACTTGAAAATAAGCCCCACTGGATTCAGCAGGACTTGCACCCCATTATTTTGATTAATTAAAACTATAAAAATTCTCCTTGCTTAATATGGAGTAGAATATTCATATAGTCCTGAAAGCATTTAGTGAAGATATATAAAATGCATAGCTCTATTAATCTTTATCACTCTGTCTGAAGTGCTGATGTCTGACAGTGATAACAAATGACTTCAGAGCATTTTGCCCCCTGGGTTGTTGCCTATTTAAGAACTGTCCAAGAAGAAGCACTGCCAAGGCAGGGAGACGATGTATCATGAAGCTTTAAACTGGGGACTGGCAATTCATATCCTCCAGACATTTTAGGGTACAATTCCTATAAACATCAGTTATACTGGCCAGTAGTCTAGGATTACTGGAATTGTAGTCCAGCACATCTAATGAATTGTAGTCCAGTACATCACTGAAAGTTTATCTCATAATTGTAATATAACATTTCCATATACCATTTTAGAATAATTTAATTGTAGCACCTGGATGGGTTAATATACTACTGAAGAATGAGAAATGCCACAATTCTGGAGAGTCTGCAAGTAATAGATTGCTTGGATTGACAAAAAGATAGTTATAGTTTCATGATTTTTAAAGAAGCCAACCTTTATAATTTCTGGAAGAACAACATGCTTCTGAGCTTATTAAAATGTATTGACTTTCTGTGTGCCAGTTAAGCTTTTCTCATTGTTGCTAAAAGAGCATTATTTCCAGTTTCAGAAGTTAGGACAAAAAATAATCATATTACTACAGTAGATTTGTATAGTATCTGGATACACATTTTAGATAAAGTGCATTAAATCATGATATTGATCACTTTGCTGCTCAGAAATATTAGATCCTTGTGGAATCATGGCTCCAATGAATGGGATGGCAAGATTGGCTCCACATTTTGCAGTCTCTGAGATGTCTTCGGTACTATCCACCTGGCTTATTTATTTTCCATTTCCCCAGTTTGCATGATTTCCTCTAAGAAGGCAAGACAGGTGGATGCTGAAGTTCCTCTTCCACACTACATATAATTACTCCATAATTGGAGTGGACAGGTAAAAGAAAAGAAACACAAGGGTAATGATAGAGCAGGATAGTAACTCTGAAGTGGGACTTCCTTTGAGGTATGAGCCTTGTCAGATGCCCAACAATGCTGACTCTGATCTATAGTATGTACCTGTATAGATTATTGCATGCAGGAATGAATCTATTACAAAAATGCTTGTGAGTTATAGTTATTGATAACATCTCCAAAACTCTAATGGAGCAGTGCAAGGCACTCGCATCTTCTCTGCACTACTGGTTCACTGAGAAGGATGTCTTACCCATAGCAACTCTCTGCCATTAACTATGTTCTAATGAATGAGAGCATAGGTACAAGTCTAATACATTAGGCAATAACAACAAAAATAGGCATTTCACTTTAACAAATACTCAAGGTTTTTCTTTAATTCTAAAGGGGTGTATTTTAAAGAAAACAAACAAACTGTTAGACACTTCTTTTCTTCAGTTAAAAGTGTCCCAAAGATGAGCAAAGAAAAAAAAAGTTTTGGTTCTTTTTGAGATCTTCCAATCTTTTTCCACAAGTGCAGAACAATATAATGAATTCAACACATTCTGATGTAAAAAATTAATAAGCAAGACTCAGATACTAAAACAGAAGTATAAGAATGATATGTGGAACAACAGAAATACAACAGAAAAGTCCAGCTTTTCTTGATATGGTCAGACCTTCTCAGTTGCCCAGGGTATTGAAGATCACTCAGTCCCAAATTCAATACAAACCTAAATTCTCCATCCCAATTACTATGGAAAGCAAATTGTCAAGGTGTAATCATACAGCTGTACATGGGTAAACCTTATGATTTCCTTTTCAGGTTCATTAGTTAGCCTATGTGAATATTTGAAAGGGTGCTTTGCTTTTGTTAAAACTTTGATGAAGCACCTCTTCAAAGAGGTATCCAGGATGTGAAGACATTTTGGTCAAAACAAACTGGATGGGTAAAGCAGTTGTGGGTATTGAGGTGGAGCTATGTTTTCTGTGACATGGAGTTGAGGTGGCTCCACAAAGCAGACCCACTTTGTTCAGCTGTAATAAAGAGGGACAGAATAGTAGACATACAGCAAAGATAAAAAATAATGTCTTTACATTATAATTCAAAAGTTCTACTGGAGGAATGTGGTAATTAACAGGGTCAGGGCATGTGGAGGGAATTTATTCCTTTCTAACCTTCTTGACCTTCAGAGGAAAATACCTCTTCTACAGCTGTTGTTTGTTTTGTGGGGAAATCCCTCCCAATTTATATTTCAACTTATGTTATACTTGCAGCATGGTTAAAATCATGGCTTCAAACCACATCATCTCTGTGTGGTTGGTTGCTTGCATGGATAGATGCTCATATGGTTTAGATCAATTATAACAATGGCTAGAAAATGCCTGTAAAATGAAAGAGGTAGTTATAATCTGATGATTTTCTTTGCTATCCTTAAAACTTTATGGGCAGAACTTATTGACCGATTTATATCTCACCTTTCTACTCAAATACTCCACACACCCAACATTTTTTGTTCTTAAGCCCCTTGTTCAGTTATCAGCTACTGACTTGGAAGTAATAATTCATTGAAAGATATTAAGCAAATAATCAATCTAGGCAACTGATGCAGAATTGCCTTTTTTCCCACTGCAAATAGTCTATGTAATTGGAATTTAAAAATGTGAACAAGGAAGGCTTACTTGAAGGAATACTGAATCAATAATAGGAACAATCTTTTTGAGAGGGGGGGAACTGTGATATTACAATGCTGAAATGTCTAAAAATGATCATTTTTAAAGTGTAGATATTTGGGGTATATATTCAATCCTAACAGAAAAAAGACAGGATATACATTCCTTTAACTTTAAAGAGTCTGCTTGTTCACTGTATTGTTTAATGTCTGCCTGGAGCCAAGGGCAATTTGGAATTGGTTACATGCAGAGAATGCCTGGCTTATTCTCTCTGGTTCTTGTAATACCAAAAAAAGTATGAAAGTCCTGAATCATTATTTAGGTACAAGAGTTGGTCCATAGAGGAACTGATTTCGGTTAGGAGTTTTGACTTGCGTGCCTGCTGGGCCCTTTTTCATAAGGATCTAATTGCTGTCCTGTTCACATCTAGATGGGGCTACTGCAGTGGACTGTCCTTCAAGAGTTTCCAGAAATTCCAGCCTGTATACTACAATGGCTACAGTGGTTTCTGTATTCATTTCTTAGAACATATTATACTAATATTTTTCACTTGTCTTAGCACAAAAAGTGCTGGTTATTACGTATAAGGCTTAAAATGTCCCGATTATCTGGAAGATTGCCTTCTCTTATATGAATCTTTCTGTGCACTGCAGTCAACATTTGATATTTTGCTATTTGTTTCAGTATGTTCAGAGGTACTGAGGAGATATGAGAGCAGTGGGGTTTGATATTAGTATGAAGATAGTGGAATTTGTTACCATATCTGCATTTTGGAAAGGCTGCAGAGACTAATTTATTCTACTGCATTTTACATTGAGAACCTTTTGCTCGGTCAATGCATTTTTAAACTGATTCAGTTGTTTTGTATCTGTTAGCCCATAATTAATATAATAGCATTATCATTTATTTTGGGAATAGTTCTATAGGCTACTATGTTCTCCCACTGAACAATATCTGTGCCGCTGTGTTCCAGGAGAGTAATTGCCAGTTGCTTGTCTTCCTGTGCATGGGTCTTCCTACAATATATACATTATATATGTGTATACAGTATGCATATGCAGTTCTACCATTTTACCATCTTTTTAGTCACCTGAGATAGAAGGGTTTCAACCTACCCTCCCCCCCAATAGCCTGCAGTGAAAAAGGCCTGTTCCCATTTACTCTTGGTATCAGACTTTCAGACCAAAAGCTGCTAGTGAGTTTCATACATACAGTATATCTTTCATGCATCTTTGCTGTCTGATGTTTTTAAAAAGTTAACTCTTAAAACACATACTTATTTATGGGTAATTTTCTTTTTCCAACAGCTGATTGCACACTGCAGAATGCATGGTTGATGTTTTGTTCGTTTCAATCTACAGGCGAGGTAAGCAAAAACCATTTTTCTAGAGAATATTGGGAAATAGCTTTGATTTGATGTTAATATATTGTGGTACACTATGAAATCAGCTTTTTTTTTTCAATTACAGTGCTGGTTTTGCATATTACCATGTTTTATTCATGCTAGTGGGTGGAGAAAAGTCATATGGTTAGGGAATGGACACAACAACTTGCAATGGTCATTGGGGATATGAGAACACATCTGGAAGGTACTAACTTGGGAAAGGCTGTCTTAAGGCATCCTCATCTTGGGTGGCCAAAGTCAGTGCTCTACTTCTTAATTTTATTTTTAGAAATTGATTTATTCTGGTTTGGCCAAACTTTCCATGGCTAAACAACATGCTTTGTAATTGTGGGATGCTATGGAATGCTATCATGACCTGACTAGGATGCACAGTTGGTTTTACCTCTTCAAGTGAAAAGCTTCCAGTTAAACAATGCTAGAAAAATGCCCAAGCTTGTGCTTGGGGAAATATTGGTGGTGCAGTTCATTAAATTAAGACTCTTAAACATGTATCTAATTACCTTCTTAAGCCACTCAATCAATGTTAAATAACAAGTGGTTCTTAAGACATTTGCTTAAGGCTACTACTGTCATTGCATGAATTTGTTTCTTACTGTTTAGACCTCAAGAAATACGTTGCAAATGTTCCACTATTATTGTGTTAACATAAAAGTGGCAGTTTTAATTGATCTAAATGAATACACACTAAAGAAAGTTGGTTTAATGCATGCTTTCAATTTCAGAAGAAACTTAAAAATCTTACTGAAACACAAAAGAGTATCTACAATAGTACTTATTACTTTTTCTTTTAATGTGCAACTGAAAACCAGACTTTAGTATTCTGATACCGCTGCACATTATGGGAGACGAACTTTTATGCAATTAATTTAGTGGCCAGTCTCTTGTATTTATCTAGTGTTCAACTATAAAACTCCAGGCAAAACTTTTGGCTCAAAAGTTTAAGCAGATTACAAATTCTGTTATTAGTTCAAAGTATTTTACCTGCATTATCTGGTTCTAGTAAGGTAAGAGCTTGCTTGTAGAACTTCCCTTACTACTGCTTCAGTAACTTGCTTGTAGAAAGTCCCAGAGTCAATCTAAGGCTGAAACTATAGACTATCAATGACTTCAACAGTGCAAGGCTAGATAAACTAATGATCTCACTTAGTGAAAAGGAACATCCCTCATTTCTGTCCTTACAACAGCCACCATGCTGATGGCGTCAGAAACAATTGCAGAGTAGTTGGGGATTGAGGCTAATAGAATAGTGTGCCTAATGAGTTCATAGCAAAAGTGAAGATTTGAACTGGCACTAGTGCTTTCTGAATTGCAGGTCCACTGTTTCGGTATACTTGGTTTCAAACAGAATAGCTTGGCTTTCCATAATTTTCATGTCCATGAAAGACTTATTTGCTTTTTGATTGATCCTTGAGCTTTTTCAAATACTGACTTTTTTAATATATAAAAAGCTCTGTTGAGGATGCCAATGGAAAATATCAAGTAAACAATTTGTAACTGTGTATCTTAAGTTTATAGTACAGTGCTTGAAATACGAACAATGAAATCTTCCTAAAGGATCATAATTTTCAGTGACAAGAGTCTATGTCTTTCTTATCCAGTGCTTACACGTGAGTGCTTAATGGAGAGAAAACTAACATCTGCCAGAAAGATAAGATAATGACTGAGATGCTTAAGTACAAAGAAAGTCTTTGTGTATGTTGGATGCTATCACACTTATTCTCCTGTTTTGGTATAATGGAGTTGGATTACCATTACAGTACCAGCTTCTGACTCACTTTCATATTTTTGTAGAATAGGGTAGTAGTTTTATGTTATGCTAAAGTTCAAGTGACCAGATAAAATCATATATCTCAATAATAAATAAGGGTAAAACTATTCCCTTGGTGGATGCATCAATTCATTAATTTTTAAATGAGGAAGAGAGTTATAAATATCCCATAGCTACCTAGGAGTTGCAGTCTAAATATATCTTGAAGATCCCAGGGAATACAAAATCTTCAATAATAATTATATAATTATAACATCTACAATACTCATCTTTCTTACTTTATATGCAAATTTGTCTTTTTTCTCTAAACAGTGTGCCACAGATGGTGGCACCCAGGAAGTTAAGGACCATTAAAAAAAGTTCTGTTCACTTCAGTTAAAAAAAGTGTACAACTATAGTCTACGATTGCCACCAATTGATCTATATATTGGTTAAGGGTGATAAAACTTGGGAAGAAAGAAGCAGGGAGTTGGCAAAGCTCCACCAGTGCTGTCTGCAGTAGTGATATCCTCAGCTGAACCGCTAGATTGTTTTTTCTCTTTCTCTTTTTTTTTTTAATTTTTGGCAAAAGTTTTTTAAAAATATATCCGAAATAACAGCATCTTGGCCCCCTTTGCAGTGGCTGGGAGGTGATCAGATATGATTGCTTCCCATTTGACTGACTATCTATGACTATATGCTGCTGGTGGATATAAGAAATATTCTCTCTAGAGTAGCAGCTGATTTGGTGCGTTGTCCCACACAAACATAGCAGGTAAGTCATTCACAGTCAAGTAATTATGCATCTAAAAAGTGTTTATCAATTGGGCCCACACTTTATATATCCATTTATCCACAAACCGAGAGAGGAGTACCGCCATTGCCAACCACTTCATAGAGAAAATAATTTCAGGCAGTTGTGAATAGGGAGTAGGTTTATTTTAAAAACTCTGTATAGCTAGAGCCTGGTCAATATATTCTAATATATGAATGCCATGTTCTGCTGGAAGTTCCTGTACTATGGGGCACTGTGAATAATTAAACCTAATTTGTAGCACATGAAACTGAACAAAGTCATGTGTTGCACAGAATTTAGAGTGCACATACTAAAAATAATTTTTTGGAGTTTTGAAGAACAAGTGTAAAGGACAGCCATCTGAAACTCTCATGGTAAACTGACTTTTATTATTGAATTATGGCATGCACTTTTTAATAAATGAAATTTGAAATTTCTCAGTATTGATAGGGTGAGGATATTTGTTTTTTTTTTAGTTCAGTTGAGCTTATGTTACTCTAAACTGAGTAAAGTTTATGAAATTCTTAATTCACTGAATTCAATTTGTTTATTCATAGAAAACATTGCTAATATTGCAAGTTGTTTTATGTGTGTACCTTTAAGTCCTGGTGACCACAGAGACAAGTCCCTGCAGTTTTCTTGGCAAGATTTTTGGGAGTGGCTTTGCTACAGCCTGCTTCCTAGGGCTAAGAGAGAACTCACAGACTCCCCATTTCTAACCTGGGGCCTTTAACCACTACATCAAACTGGACGCAATATTACAGTTAGACAAAAAATATTCTTTTCCACCTTCTATTTGTATGCCTTGTTTATTTCACTTTTACTAGACATAACGACTTGAGTGCTGTAGAAGTTATCTCAGATATAGAGATAAATTTTGAAGGGTATACAATTCATATACTATAATTAATTAGTTGAAACAAGCCATTGTTTTGAATTGTGAGACTAAGAACAGAGTCACAGTTAAGTAGTTAAGCTATCTTGAATTTGTTCTCATCCTATCAAGTCTTAAATTCTCTTCACTCAGTTAAGGAATCTATGTCATAGTGAATAAATGTTATACAAGCAACTAAATTTACCACCATTAACTTTCCCCAAGGTTAAATACACCTTGAAGGGAACCAGGATAGGGAATCCTGAAGTAAATGATTTTACAGGGTATGGCTAGGTTTTAAATCCTTTTTCAGGGCTCCTACTTCAAGAGCCTATGTGAGAGAGATGGATGCAATCCCAAATATAGTATTAAAGAAGGTATTGTTGAAAGATCAATTGCATAATCCTTTCAGCAGCCTTGCAAGGGTGCTTCCAACCCCTCCCTGCCAAGAAGGAACCAAGTCACCCAAACAGGATTGCCAGGCAGCTATCTGTGGACACAACTAGGATGAAGAAATAAGTACATTTTGCCACTCTTAATGCTTGGTTGGACTTGCCCTTCATCTTTCTCCAGTGACACTCTAGGCATCTCTTGTGTCATTTCATGTTTGACCCCCACAGTCACTTGGGCCATCAATAACCTGGACCAGGTCCATGGTTGCTATGATGGCCATGAACATCCAAGCTGCCTCTGACTCCATGCCTTGCAAAGGCAGGTAGTTCCCCGTTCTATAAGCCTGGGGAATTCCCCTGCCAAGCCAGCCACAGTCAAGCAGCTCAGGCAGGGAAGCTGCTGTGTAGCAGAGGGCTTGGTACACAAGCAGCAATCCCATCTGATCCTTATGCCCCGGCTTCACAAACAGGGTTTCACATCCTATCTATGAAGCAGCACCCTGGCAGTCACTAGAGTCTCCTGGATGGTGGGCACATTTCTGAGATGGGAACACTCCCACCACTACTGAACCAGTCTCACTGATGCATGACAATTAACCCTCTCATCCATGATTATCTGACATTCAGCAACCTCAGGCGGAATCTGGGGCATCTGAAGCTCCAGTGACCAGGTTTCAGGGATGAGTACATGGGGCTGGAATGTGATACTTTAAGAGCAACACTGTTTCTTCTTTGTTTATCACGTCCTGAGTGATAAACAAAATGATATTCTGACTGAAAGTGTCCAATTTCAATTCACTGATGCCTAAGATGTCAATTCATTTCAATTCATTTCATCTTTCAGTAAGTTACTCTTTCCCAAGTCTATGCTGCCTACGTGCCATGTTCCCATTGTCTTTGCAGTTTTGGATTTTCTTTTCTTGCATGGCAACATCAGAACTAGAAGTCCTGACAGCTTTAATCTAGTTGTGTCATAAACACCATTAGTACTCTGAAAAATCCTCAGCTCTTCCTCAATAGCATGTTGAGTGCCACCAAACCCAAGGTATCTACTATCCAGCTGTATCATCAGTCACTGTATATTGTCTTTCCATGTGGTTTTCTTGCTAAAATGTAGGACTGGTTTATTATTGCCATCTCAAGCATCTTTCT